CCTGTCATGAAGGTTTCGGAGACAGAACAGCTTTTAATCATCTGCTGATGAAGCGTTTTTTAAAAGGTGTACAGAGAAAGGTGTAGAGGCCACCTCAGGTCCACTAGGCGGCGTGGTGTCTTTTCTGCAGCAGCCGATGGACAGAAATTTGGCGTTCAGCACGATTAAAACGTACACTGCAGCCATCTCTTCCTGTCACAAAGGTTTCGGGGACAGAACAGCTTTTAATCATCCGCTGATGAAGCGTTTTTTTAAAGGTGTACAGAGACGCAGGCCTGTTTCACGCCCACTTGCTCCACAGTGGGATTTAACGCTGGTCCTGCGGGCCCTGATCAAAGCTTCATTCGAGCCACTGAATCAGGTTCCAATTAAATTCTTGTCTCTTAAACAGCCCTGCTGCTGGCTTTAACATCCGCTAAGAGGGTGAGTGATTTATCTGCCCTCTCTGTCGCTCCGTCATGTCTTAGAATTCAGGCTGATGGCAGCTCAGCAGGTCTAAGACTGAATCCAGCTTTTATGCCTAAAACATCACAAGCTCTTTTAAATCAAGAATGATATCGTTGGAGGAGTTTTTCCCTCTCACCCCCACAAATCAGAAGAAGAAACATCTTTCCATCTGCTCTGTCCTGTGCAGGCGTTGACGTGTTACATAGCGCGCACAGCTGCAATGCGTCAAATTCAACATTTGTTTGTGCATTATAGAGATGCATCTGCAGGTCGCCCGTTATCCACCCAGCGCCTGTCACACTGGCTGTGTGAGGCCATTTCTGAAGCCTACAGAGCATCAGATTTAGAGCCTCCTGATAACCTCAGGGCACACTCGACCAGAGGTATCGCATCTTTGACTGCTTTGCATAATGGTATGACAATGCAGGATATTTGCACTGCGGCCACGTGGTCAACACCCTGCTCATTTATTCACTTCTATCTACATGATGTGACGGCTCGTTCCATGACACATTCTGTCCTTAGTGTTTTAACAGAATGAATATTGTTGTTTCATGGAACCCCCGTTTAAACTCACATCTGACTGCATGCATTACAGTGTGAGATGTTGTTATCAGCCACAAGTTGTGACTGTTATTTTGGTTCTTTTGTCATTAATCAGTTCATGAATATTGTTACCAATCAGTTGATTTGATTAATAATCAGTTCACTTGTTATTATTAATCTGTTCATATTAATCAGCCGTGAATCTGTTGGTTCATGGCCCTTTTTCAGCATCTTCCTTTCCCCGTTGAAAGTTTGTGGGGCGTTCAACTACACAGCATGCGTCTGTGCATGGTATGCATAATTACGCAACGCGTAATGACACACATGGAGAGCTGAATAACAAGACGTTTTTTGGGCAAGCTGCCGCGTCGTATGGTGTTCAAATGGACCCAGTGAGGCGAGGACCACATCTGCTTCGCCCTTAACCCACTAGCGACAGCTCTTGTAGTGAGAAGCCTATACTAAATAGAACATTGGTTACGTACTGTAACCCCAGATTCTATGAGTATAGGCATAGCCCTTTAAGCGTAGGGCCTCACTGGCTCCTTAATGGCTGAAGAAAAAGCTATTTGGGAGCCGATTACCCTCTTTTAATGTAATTTATACGGACCGGGTGGGGCCCACACAGCAGGTGGGCGTGGACTAAACGTTTCAGTGCGATGCTTCACATGACGGGATAAACCCACTAGCAACAGCTCTTAAAGGGCTACGCCTATACTCATAGAATCTGGGGTTACAGTACGTAACCAACAATTGTAGTTGGTGAGATTAATTTGCAACACGTCCCTCTGAACAGCAGATTGTGCATAATGTTATTTTTAAGGTTTGAACAATCCAGCAACGATTCCATAATTTCTCTACACAACATGATCTCAATCTAAAGGTTTGACATAAAAGGTGGTGGGCAAAATTCATTTCTTCATTGAGTGCTTGGCTTTTAGTTGACTTCTGAATATAATTCATAATTTACACAAATCACGAGATGTTTATTGTGGTAAGATTATTTTTTTCATTTTGAAATGTATCATAACTATGACTCGAACTGTCAAAAGAAACATAATAATCAGATTATAACTGTTACTTTTTCTGTGAAAATTGCCTCGTGTGCAACATCAACATGTCAGAGCAGTGTGTTCCAAGAAGACTGTCAAGGTCTGTTACTTTGCACAAACATGTGTTTGTTTTCGTTCAAACATGAGCCATGTTTGGCTATGAAACAATGAAACATCGACAACCAGTTACCTATCATGTGGGCACAACATGTAGTGGAGCTAAAGATTACACATAACCCCCTGGCAACTTGAATTCAGCTGTTATTCCATCTGGTATTATGGAGGAAACAAAAGGGTAAACTAGTTAAAGGCCAACCTTTACTTGAAGAAATGCATCTTGTATGCCAACGTTTTTGTTTAATCATTTATGCATTTTCAATTAAACTGTTAACGTATCAGTCTCAACGAATATCATTGTTCAATTCAGTTCAATTCAGTTTATTTATGTAGCGCCAAATCACAACTGAATTCGTCTAAGGGCACTGCACAGAAACATTCACATACATAAAAAGTTAGTTAATAATGTTATTTATCTAGGGAGCAAGCATATTGCTATGAGTCTTCACTTCGTTGCAGTTTCCCATCCTAAGCAAGCACAGAGCAACAGTGAAAAGGAAAAACTCCCTCATGAGGAAGAAACCTCCACCACTTTCACGGTCTTAGAACTATTTTGACCCAGAAAATCAGGCTGACATGAGCAACTCAAGAATAAAACTAAAGTTTATTGCAAACAAAAACAAAAAAGCTGTCATTAAAGCAAATTTATTAATAAGGAGGCATTGAGAGTCACATAGAGGTACACAGAAAACTGGGCTTGCATGTAACATGCTCCTCTAAATACTGGACTGATCAGTGAGAGGTCTTATGGACTGAGGCTGATGAGGTAATTACAGCAGAGCTAAATGAAACAGGGAACAGGTTAGAGTGGGTGTGGCTGGGTATAGGAAAGGGAAAATTAAGGAAATGAATAATGGCAGACACACAAGTAGGGAGGCAAAAACTAATTGAACACAAGAAAAAAAATACAGAAAACAAAACACCGTGTGCATAAGCAGAATAACAAAAACTGAAAAACAGATCATGATAATTACAAAGCCATAAACATTGAAATATAAACTGCAGACATAATAGTGAACATATAGTATGTTTTAACGACCAAATACAACTACCATTCATTCATTCATTCATTCATTCAACTTTTATTTATAAAGGTTAATCTCATTGAGCCTCGGGGACTCATTTACAAGAGAGACCTGATTTCTTTAACAAAGGGTGATGACAACAATGGATAACAACAACAACAATAGACAATCATAAGAGGCATACAATTTAAAAAAACAACAAATTAAAATGAAATGGCAACCAAATGGACAGTCAAAAGGAAAAAGTAGCGAAAAACAACAACAACAACAAAAACCCAGCTAGGTGGTATAGAAAACTCAAAACAGGAACATGTCTGCATTGGTTTTTGCCAGGAACTTAACAGAAGTTTGAAGCCACTTAGAGGTCAAGGTCGAGAGCTTCAGATCTTTTTGCAAGATATTCCAAGAAACAGGAGCAGAGTAGGAGAAGGCCCTTTTGCCTAATTCAGTCTGCACTGAGGGGACAATGCAGGTAATAATGTTCTGAGAGTGCACACTGTAGCTGCACTCACGCAGTGACATGTAGGAGGAGATGTATGAAGGCAGCAAACAAAGAAGTGATTTAAAGATGAAAATGTACCAGTGGGAGAGTCTGCGAGAAGTTAATGATGTCCAGTTAACCAGAGAATACAGGGTGCAGTTGTGGGTACGATAGTTACAGCCAGCTATGAATCTTAGTGCACCATGATAGGCAGCATCTGCAGAGAATCATCTATCCATCCATCAATTATCTTTACCCACTTCTTCCTTTTTGGGTCGTGGTGGTCACTAGTGCCCATGTCCAGCCATCACTGTGCGAGAGGCAGGGTACACCCTGGACAGGTCGCAAATCCATCACAGGGACACAAAGGGACAAATAAGACAACCATTCAACCTCTCACTCTCACCTACGGACAATTTAGAGCTACTAATCAGCCTAACATGCATGTCTTTGGTCGGTGGGAGGAAACCAGAGTACCCTTGGAAAACCTACGCATGCACGGAGAGAACATGCAAACTCCACTCAGAAGGCCTTCATCCGGGATTTGAACCGGGCCGACCTACTCGCTGAGAGGCGGCAGCTCTACCAACTGTGTCACCGTTCGATTTCACAAAACAAAATTGATCTCCTCTGATCCACATAAATCATTGGGTGTTTAGTTTTTCTAAGATCCAGGCTGGTCCACAGAGGTGATCAAGTCTTTAGTTGTCTGTTAGGGAATTTTTGGTCAAAGAATATGGATGTTTTTGGCCGAGAATCTTATCTATACCGATGATGATTATATACTGTTACCTACCTACCTACCTATCTATCTATCTATCTATCTATCTATATAGAATTTGCATTTGTCCGTTTGTAAATTTAGTTACCTTTTCAGTTTGATGTGAGAAAAATTCAAGTAGCAATAAATGACCTCTATCTGTGTACATTTTTGAACACTGTTAGAAGCATAAACTAGTTCATATTTGTTGCGAACTACAAATATAAACAAATGTAGTCACATTATTTGGAGGGGAAAAAAGTCAGATTGGTTACATTACTTACTTACTTTCCTCTTTCATATTTTCCTCCTGAATAATGTTTAGCGAATAATCTAAAAAAGTTAAATCTGGTCCTCTGGACATTCAAAAAACAAAACAAAGCAAAACAACAATTATTATTATTTTTACTTTGTTTTGTTTTGTGAATGTCCAGAGGACCAGATTTAACTTTTGTAGATTTTTCTACCGCGATTATTGAGCATGCATCCGGATATTTTGCGAATAATGTTTTGAAGTTAACTGGTCCTCGCCGTGGACCGTAATGACGTCATATCCAAAACAAGGCAGGTACCGGAAGTGGCTTCTTTCCGCTGCGGTTTCAAGACTTAGTGTTTCTCTTCTTCGTTAACTTTTTGGTTTTCACAATGTCCCACGACCCCTGGTAGGTAAAGCTTTCTAGCGGTTGACCGAACATACAGAGATGTATTTTTAAGAAGAATGCACGTCGTGTTTTTCTCTTTTTTTGCGCTGCTTTTCATCTGCAGTTGTTGCTAGTTCTTCATCAACATTAGCCGTAAATTAAATCTTGGATACTGTACAGTGTTTAATATATTATCTAAATAACAATGATAACGTTTTTGAAGCAATAAACTAAGGCTACACAAAAAGCGGTGTGTTGTTAATGTAAATAGGTGCTGTTTGCTGGGTGAAAGCTGTAAAGCAGCAACAGACGAGGAGGATTTATTGTTGTTGTCATTTTGTTTAATGTTATTGTTGTCTGTACTTCATATGTTCTGTTTGGACCAGGTCCCTCTTGTAAATGAGAAGACCCTGTATAAATAAAGGTTGAATGAAATAAAGGTATAATGCAGTATTTGATTAACCTCACCTGTGTTTTCATATGAGAACACTGTTGGTGTCACAGGTGACGGTTAGGCTACAAAAACTACCGATCATCTGAGCTCTTTCACATCATAAGTTTCTTTTTTCCTGATGAATTCCCAGAGGAAACCACTTAGAAACAACATTTATTTTGCTGTTGAACAGGATTATTCCAAGCTGTTTTCAACCTCATGATCTTGATTTATGATGAATAAATAACCGATTGTCAAATATGTGAATTAACTCCAGAATGACTAAAAATATGTTTTTAATGACATTTAGTAAAGTCAGCAAATTAACTGCATTTAGTCGTTTAAAGTTTCACATATTGATGCAACTTGTTCGATTTATTGATTTATTAATTTTTAATACATGATAACTTTTACTATAAATGTTATTTTCATTCAAAACTCAAATACTAAACTTACACCCTGTTAGTTTATGGTCCTTTATGTCCTATGATAGTAACATTTTTTGAAACCTTTTCCTCGCCACTCATTGATACGTAGGTTGCAGAATTATGACGCCACTTGTCGCCTGGCTCAGGAAGTAGCAGAAAACATCCATGAAAGGAACCGGCAGCAGAGAACAGGGGGAAACCCTGCAAAGGTAAATACAGTCTGGGCTACAGTGTTAAATGAAGTGGTGTTGTGTTCAACAATCTGCTCATGATGTCTTTTCAGATGAACATGACACTGCGAGCATCACTGCAGAAACTGAAGCAGAACATTGCTCAGCTCAAAGAAGGCCTGTTGAGAGCTTCATCATCTCGGCGCATGTATCCTTTTTCTTCTGACAATGTGACAAGTTCCTAGAGTCATGAGACTGAAAGTGGTCAGGCCTGGAATGTTGTTCCTGTTCGCAGTAACACTCATCCTCCTGTAGAGGGGGGAACAGTTTTATTTAAAGGGATCTTCTCATCTTTCATCAGCCATACTCCAGATCTTAAGACTTTCCTCCAAAAATAAAACAATGTAAAAAATATATATTTTTAAGGAAACAAGGGAAAATTTTAATCTTAACCTGCTGTCATCAGAATGCAGTCAGAAGCTGACAGGAGGCAGAATCTTATTGATGACCTGCTAACCAGAGAGAAGCAGCTCAACGGGACTTTCAGAGGAGATATCACTGAGCCTGAATCCACCAGGTACTAATTATTAACATAAACAGCTAGTCATTAAACACCTCAGAAGCTCTTAAGAGATTTCCAGGAATGATTGTCACCTCTATCTTCTATTTCCTTTCATTAAGCAAGCCGTCTAAAACAACAAACAATAGAAATTGATATTTAAAAAAAAATATTTTTATAGCTGAACACCTTTAACTGATGTGTTGTCCATCTAAATGCCCCAAACTGAAGGATTTCTTTGGATGATGCACATTGTTGTTTTTAACAAAACACACCTTTTTGTATTTCTTGCTAAAGCTTTCCTCTTTGTTTTTCTCAGACCATAACACATTTTCCTGCACAAGACTTGATGTATTTTTTTAAAATTATTATTATTATTATTTTTTTTAATTTTGCCATGCCTGTTTTTTTTTTTTTTTAAGAAAAGGTTTGTCTACGCAATAGTCAGGCAGCTGAGCAGACGTCATATAGTCCTACTAGAACAGCCAAGCACGTTTTCATGTTGATCTGTCACTTTAAGTGATCACAGGAGTATTCCCGTGGTTGTAATTAAATCAAAAGATGCTTCAAGCTCATTATTGGAGTGATCATACTTATTACAGCTGTTATTTTCAGCTTTTATAGACTTATTTCTTTATTAATAAATTTGTTCTTTTTTCAGTTTGTTTTATGGGTACCCAATTAAAAATACCGAAGCCTCATTTTCATGTAACTTTTCTTTGCCAGAGTTGTCATAATCACTGTGCTCTGCTTTGATGATGTTACTGATCACTAACTTTCTTTAAACGTGTGTCCAGTTTGACCCACTTTTTGTGACCTCTTATTGTTTTTACTTGGAAGGAAGTCCGTCTGTCCGCCATTTTGACAGCTTTTTGTTTAATTCCTGTCCATTGGATTTGCTCGATCTGCTCTGTTGATCACAAACATGTCCTCAGTGAAGCAGGGTGACAGGAGAGTTGATGAGATCCGATGTGATCTCAGCATGATGCCGTCAGGAAGCAAGTTGTCATTACTGCAGGTTTTGACCTGGCCTTGCACAGGTGATATTTGTTTGGATAGGAAGAGGAAATTATGTCATGCTTTTGGCTCTTCTTGCTTCCTCTTCTTGATGAATGTATTGTTTTGGCATTCTTATCTTGCTTTGGCTCTCTAGAGGCTGTTGTTGTACAACCTCAATTCTGAAAAAGTTGGAATGTGTAATACGTATTAAAAAAAAAACCCAAACAGAATTCAAAATTTGTATATTTCTATTACTCATTTTATTCACAATGAAACAAACGTATCAAATGTTTAAACTATCAAATGGGACCAATTTAGCTTTTTTTGGGGGAAAAGTAATAAAATTTGAAGGCAACAAAGCGTAAAAAAAGTGTGAAGAGGGGCAACAAAAGTTTGTAAAAGATTAAATAAACAAAAAAAGAGCAAGTACGCTCAATCATCCAGGTAAATCACAAAAAAGTAAAATAATAAACTGTCCAGATGACATGATTTAACTTTTTTGTGAAATATAGTTGTACAAATAAGAAATAGACAGAATAGCATTTTACAACTAATCATGTTAATTAGTAATAAGTCAGTACGATGATTGGATACAAAAAGAGCATTTTAGAAATGCTGAATCTCTCAGAAGTAAAGATGGGCAGTGGTTTACCACTCTTTAAAATGTGCACCTACAGTGCCTTGCAAAAGTATTAGGCCCCCTTGAACTTTTCAACCTTTTGCCACATTTCAGGCTTCAAAACTTAGATATAAAATTTTGATTTTTTTTGTGAAGAATCAACAAGTGGGACACAATTGTGAAGTGGAATGAAATTTATTGGATGTGTCAAACTTTAAAAAATAAAAAACTGAAAAGTGGGGCGTGCAATATTATTCGGCCCCCTTGCGTTAATACTTTGTAGCGCTGCCTTTTGCTGCAATTACAGCTGCAAGTCTCTTGGGGTATGTCTCTATCAGTTTTGCACATGGAGAGACTGAAATTCTTGCCCATTCTTCCTGCAAAACAGCTCGAGCACAGTGAGGTTGGATGGAGAGCGTTTGTGAACAGCAGTCTTCAGCTCTTTCCACAGATTCTCGATTGGATTCAGGTCTGGACTTTGACTTGGCCATTCCAACGCCTGGATACGTTTATTTGTGAACCATTCCATTGTAGATTTGGCTTTATGTTTTGGATCATTGTCTTGTTGGAAGATAAATCTCCATCCCAGTCTCAGGTCTCTTGCAGACTCAAACAGGTTTTCTTCCAGAATGGTCCTGTATTTGGCCCCATCCATCTTCTCATCAATTCTGACCATCTTCCCGGTCCCTGCTGATGAAAAGCAGGCCCAAACCATGATGCTGCCACCACCATGTTTGACAGTGGGTCGACTGTGTACGACTGATTGTTGTCCTATGGACAGACTCTCCCACCTCAGCTGTAGATCTCTGCAGTTCATCCAGTATGATCATGGGCCTCTTGGCTGCATCTCTGATCAGTCTTCTCCTTGTTCGAGATGAAAGTTTAGAGGGATGGCTGGGCCTTGGTAGATTTGCAGTGGTCTGATACTCCTTCCATTTCAATATGATTGCTTGCACAGTGCTCCTTGGGATGTTTAAAGGTTGGGAAATTTTTTTGTATCCGATGATTGCCAAATTTACTTCCCCCTGAGGCACAGAGGCACACGCTCTATTCAGCCTCTTCTTGACTGCCTGGCTGAAATCCGGGACTGGATGGCTTTAAACTTCTTAAGCTTCAATGAGAAGAAGTCTGAAGTCATGCTGTTCCATCCCAGTGGCTCACTCATGATCCATGACATTGACCTTTTCTCTCTAGCCCCGCTAGAGAAACAAAAGGTCACTAATCTGGGGGTGATAATGGACCCGTCCTTAAAACTCAACAGTCACGTAAACATGATGGTCAAATCCAGTTTTTTTCAGCTGAGACGGCTGTCTAAGCTGAAGCCTATACTCTCCAAAAAGAACCTTGAGACAGTGATCCACGCCTTCATAACATCTAGGCTTGATTACTGCAATTCACTTCTGTTTGGAATCAGTCAGTCCTCCATTGCACATCTACAACTGGTCCAAAATGCTGCAGCCCGATTTTTAACTGGTACAGGCTATAGAGAGCACATCACGCCAGTTTTGGCCTCCCTGCACTGGCTACCCATTCACCTTCGGATCCAATTCAAAATTCTCATGTATGTTTTTAAATCACTGAACAGTTCCGCCCCATCCTATCTCACTGATCTTCTGCAGCCATATGTCCCATCTGGTCTGCTGACCTCTCTGAGGTCAGCAGACCAGATGCTTCTCTCAGTCCCAGAAACCCGTCGTAAGCTCAGAGGTGACGGGGCTTTCTCTGTTGCAGGTCCACGACTGTGGAATGAGTTGCCACTGAGTGTCCGGCAGGCTCCCACACTCTCAGTCTTTAAGTCTCGCTTGAAGACCCACTTCTATTCTCTTGCCTTTAACACGGTGTGATTTGTTTTGGTCCAGTCTGTACTCTACTCTGTTGGCCATTTTAGTTAGCTTCTGCTGCTATTTGTATCTGTATTTCTATTTTATGTTTTCCTGTCCGCTGTGCATGTTTGTTTTCTTTTGTACAGCACTTTGGTTGGCCTTGTTGCTGTTTTAAGTGCTCTATAAATAAATTGGTATGGTATGGTATGGTAACATGTGAGCTTAACAAAACGTGGAGATACCTGTGCACTTTTTTAAATTTATGTAGCTTCTTTGCTTAAAATGATTGTATATAGGTAAAATATTTTAAATAAACCAACCAAAAAAAAAACAAAAAACTATAGGATAAAAAAATAAATAAATTAGTACTCAACATTAATTGTTCTGTTAAACTGATAAGCCAATCTGACGGTCTAATTCAAGATGGCCACCACAGTTAACTGATGTCAGAAAATAGAAAATGGCTATAACAGCCATTCATGTGTTTTTAAACTTGATTAACTTTGGTTACCATGTTGAATTGTTTAGTTTACAAACGTTAATCATTTGTTGTTTACCGGTGATTACAGTCTGCAAGTTTCATTCAAATCCATCAGATGTTTCATGAGATATTTCACTAACAGACAGGGTTGACGCCAACAGGTATTTACAAAAATGTATGCAAAAATATTCAATGTGTCATACTTTTTTTTAAGAGCACCCTCTTCTGATATATTTTACAAACTTTGGTTTTTGGATTTATCTACTTAGCGGCTCTTTGCACAAGCTTTCATCCTTTTTTTTACAGACCACACACTCAATTCCATAAAATTCTCCATTAAATTAAAAGCCTCGCATGACATTAGCTAAAAAAAATTAGCTTGCAAACTGTAACCATGTGGTCACATAGTTTTTAGTTTGCTCTGTGGGACCTGAGTTTAATGGCTAAGTGTGGTGGGTTATTAGGACTTGGGGGTAGGTGTCGGACCTTTTCCCGCTGTGTGGTCTTTAGCAGCGGCATACGTATGAGAGGAAGGATTGATCATACTTGGATTATCTAAGTCATTAAAAAACAACTTACAGATGAGGGCATTAATTGGTGTTTTATTCTGAAAACAAGAAAATCTTAACCTATTCATTTCAGATTGAGCTATAGGAGAACTTGGCACCTGTTTCTCAAAGCTCGGTTTGCCATGTTGCCCTCTGGACACACCTTTACACCTCTAACCTTCTCTTTGTGTTTGGATAAGTTGGAAGTTGTAGTAATTAGTTAAATCTCACCTGCCAGAGTCACTCAGTCAAGTTCTTATGTGGTTGCCAGGAGATATGCTTGACTGATTTTGGCGGTCTGCATTAAGTTTTTAATTGGATCTTAACACACTGTGTGCCAGCAAGAAGGAAGTGCAAGTTTGACTTATAATCTAACGTGTTAAAAAAAGTTATATTAGGTGCTTTGGCTCACACATTCTGCATACAACTTCAGAAGCAGTTTTTTTTTTACTTTTTCTTTTGGCTGCTCCCTTTTCCAGGAGTCGCCATAGCAAAGTAACTCGCACAAAGACTTGGTAATTGTTTTTACGCCGGATGCCCTTCCTAACGCAACCACAGACCACCGAGCTACCACAGCCCTCTGTGTGGAGCAGGGCTGCCATCTAGGATGCTCTAGGGAGCAGATGGTGGCGGTTAAAAGCCTTGCTCAAGGGCCCAGAGTGGGGCAAATGAGAGTGGAGGCAGGTGTGGGTGGTTTACCTTTCCCACCCACATTTTGATGATGTTGGTACGGTGAGTTGAACCGGCGATCTTCTGATCACAAGCCCACCTTCTGTAACCTCTGTGCCGCCACCCCCCCTTACTTCAGAAGCAGTAATACTTTAAAATGTAAAACTCAGAGATTGTACAAGTCATTGACCAGGTATGTATTCTCTCAGCCACTCATATTCATAAATAGGCTAATGATTTAATAACTGAAGACTAAACTCTGTTTTTTGTGCCTCGCTAAATGTTTGTTTTTTCTGAAAGCCCTTGACAACGCCTGAGATGTTTTCAACACATTCTTCTTTTTTATTCTTACAGACATTCTTCTGATCTAATCCACTTCATCCTTTCTTGTAAAACACATTAGGACATCATTAAACTGTTAAATATTTTTATTAGTTTAAGTAAAAAGTGTGTAAAGTTGTCTTGTGTAAATACACTTTACAATGTGCCAATGTGAAGCTGGATCTTGCACTACCTTATTCTCCTCATATGTTTCTAATTTAGTTGATTAAATTTACATTAACATTTTGAGCCTACATGCAGTTCCATTGTATCTGAACACTGGGTTGCAAAAGTATTCTTTCCCTTTTTTAGCCTTATAACTTAAGGCTCCCACATACTCGGGCATACTTCACTCTGCAGAGGTCCGTGCATACTTGAGGTGGACTCAACGTGGACTCGAAGTGGACGTCTGCAAGCCATGTCCGCGCAAAGATAAATTTTTACGACCACCTACGCGTACTCATGTCGCACAATAAACAGTCCGACGACGCACTGTTTGTATGCAACACCAATGTATTAACTTCCTCTTCTTCATCCCTGGTCTGGTTTAATGGCCTTTTGTTTCTTTGCCAAGAGGCAAGTGATCTCTTTCTCCTCATCCATTGACGCCATGACTGAAATTGTGAGAAATGAAGGAATTTGTCACAAGAGAATTAAAATCAGGCCCGGCGTAGCTGCGGGAGGGTCTGGAGATTTCTCGGTGAGCCGGTCTGATATATGGGCTGCAGGGCAAGCGCTCCCTGTTTTTCATTTTTTAGAACTTTTTATTAACAACATATAAACACAGAACACCGCTGCCACTGCTCCTGGGCTGCCAGCTGCCTCTACCCAGGGCCTCCGGCAGCTCTCGTTTTTTTTTTTTTTTTTGACCTGTCAATCAATCCAGTAGGCATATCAGCAAAATTTGTCCCAAAGGTAAACACCCCTTGTCTGCAGTGCTGGGCTGCAGCACATCAGGGTGTAAGCTTGAGTATAAAGTCTCAACCGTCTGCGGACAGTGCGCGGAGTCCGCACGGCTCACGCAGTACACACAGTACGCTCGAGTATGTGGGAGCCTTTAGATACAATGAAGTTTTCAATTTTCTTTACATATGATTTGTATACTTTAGCATGTGTGGAACACAACTCTAAAAGCTATTTGGTGAAGACTAGCTTCACACAACCCAGAAAGCTGCCAGATAAATGTGTTCTACAAGTGTTTAGTAAAAAATGCATGTACATGTCCATTATACTCTTCTCACTTATCGTTTTTTTTTTCCTGCTTGCGCTCAACGAGGACGGACGCTTTTCCTCATACTCCTGCCTCCCTCCTGTTTTGCTCTTTTTCTTGTGATTCCTATCAGCCTTTCACTACATCCATCCATTATCTTTTACCCGCTTCTTCCATGTTGAGTCACGGGGATCGCCGGTGCCCATGTCCAGCAATCTACTGTGTGCGGGGCGGAGTACACCCTGGACAGGTCGCAAGTACATGTCCATTATACTCTACTCACATCTCATTCTGTTTTTTTTTTGGTACCTCTCACTACATATCCTCCAAATTGAAAATTATGGATCTGGTCAGCTGGTCTCTCAATGGAATTGATAAACTTTTCTCGACAATAAGACAGGATGAAGGAGAGCCCTCTTACCGTGAAGGGATACTCGCAGCTGGATACACTAAGGATTCCTGGAGACAGTGGAAGATGGTGTGTCTGTCTGTATTGTCCGTTGAGGACATAGAAAACGTGTACATAATCTAATTTATGATAACCAGATTTCTGCTTTTTGGAGTTGGTGCATATCTGGCATATCAACAAATTCGGAAGACGGTGGCAACAGTTCTGGCAATGGTAAGGTTGCCTGCCTTGTATGAAGGAATGTACCGAGCGGTAAGCTCTCAGACTCAGATGCTGTATGAGCTGAGCTGTAAGCTGGATGCGATTTCTGAGAATCGCAGGCACTTGCAGCTCCTGGGACTCACAGGCGGGAAGGAATCGACCTTGGAGAAGGCTAGAAGCTTGGTCCAGAGATGTGACCATAAAATTTGGCTGTTTGGAATCGCCAGTGAGACGTACCAGCAGAACTATGAAGGCAGACATGGAAATTCAAGCAGAGGCTGCCTGACCCAAAATAAATGTTATCTGAATTTGGCTTCCCCACTCGGCCTTGAATTGGCAAGCTATCTCAATTTCTCCTTGTTGTTTATGGGAACAAGAAACTCTTCTCCCCTCCCCCATCGCTCCCCTCCCGAGGACTTCTGTGGATCTGTGTCAGAGTTGAGCTGGCTGATAGACACTGTTCCATCTTTATCATGACTATGGAACTTTCTGGCAGTGTGCACGAACAACTCCCTGCCCTCGTTGGCCTCATGCATAAATGTATTCTGATGTCATCAGTATGTTGCTGTTTCATGTACCAAGGTCATTTTTTTGCAACTTTCACACTGTGTCTCATCTTGGACACAGTGCAAGATTTGATTTTTTTACACCTAAACTTCCCCTCATGTTTCTTTTTCTTTATCTGATAAAAAGGGCTTCGCCTCTCAAGTCTGGCGGCCTCAGTCACCTCCGTCTCCCCATGTCTGTTTGTTTGCTTATATTTCTCTTGGACGGGCTGTACCGAAATGTAATTTTGCTGCACTTAGGTGCAATGACAATAAAGCTGATTCTGATTGTAATTCATGTACATTTTCTTTGGGTTTTGGTTACTGTTTCAAACGTTTTAGCTAGGAAGCAGCTTTCTGATCAAATTGGACATTGCTGTTTACTAAAAGTAATTTGTTATTGGGTCCAACACGGCCACTATTTAAATGGAAATGGTCTTGTTTATGAACCACAGGTCTGCCTTGATGGCTGGAAAAGCAGGAGCCGGTGGAGGAGGTGCTGCTAACCCGTGGCTCATCAACGAATCAGAAGAGACCAAGGGTCTGAGCTTTGGAGACATTAAACAGCAACAACAAAGAATCATTGAAGGTAATTACACTGTAAGAGGCAGATAACCACGGCTTGTGAGGAAAGTGATTTTCAGTTTGTTTCAGTGTGTTTACCATGTCCCATTAGGAACAATAGGATTTTTGTATTCAGTAGTTTTTTTAACTAAAATTTCATGCAACATCACAACATTTTAGGAATTAAGCTCGTATAACCGGCGGCATGGTGGCTCAGTTGGTAGACCTGTTGCCTCTCAGCGAGAAGGTTGCCAGTTCAAATCCCAGCCAGGGTCCTTCTGGGTGGAGTTTGCATGTTCTCTCCGCGTGTGAGTTTTCTCCGGGTACTCCAGACCAAAAAAACATGCATGTTAGAGTGATTAATAACTCTAAATTGTCCCTAGTTGTGAGCGAGAGAGTGAATGGTTTTTGTCTCCGTGTCCAAAAAGCGTTCATTACAAAAATAACTGGACTTTATTTGTAACAGAAGACGTTTTGCTCCTCATCCGAGGAGCTTTTTCAATTCAATGAGCAGTGAGTGAGAGATTCATGTTATAAGGCTGAGTGAGATAAGACACACACACACATATGTAGATTTGACAAGTCACACCTCAACACCTTAACAGTAGAGGTTTCTTAAGGTCTTTGTTACTCTAATTCACAGATGAGACCCCTCTGTTCTCATCAAGTGTGAAAACCGGCTGGAAATCTGTCTTAAAGTTACATTATAGGTTTTTGAAAGTGGAAATCTGAGGCCTCCTCCTCTGTTAAGAGACGGCTTTTCTCTTTTTAAATAAATTGCTTCCTTCACCTCCCTCTCAAACAATCTGTGTTCTCGGTCAAAAATGTGCACATTTTAGTCCTCAAAAGAGTGTCCCTTATCTGTGAGGTGGAGGTGAACAGCTGAATCTTGTCTAGAGGAGGTGGCTCTCCTGTGTTGAGCCATGCGTCTGTGAAGAGGCTGTTTAGTTTCTCCAATGTAGAGGTCTGGACAGTCCTCGCTGCATTGGACTGCATACACTACACCACTCTGTTTGTGTATGGGTGTTTTGTCCTTAGGGTGGACCAGTCTCTGTCTGAGAGTCCTGCTGGGTTGGAAATGTACTGGGATGTTGTGTTTGTTGAAAATCCTTCTGAATTTCTCTGATACTCCCCAGCCGGTTTTCACACTTGATGGGAACAGAGGGGTCTCATTTGTGAATTAGAGTAACAAAGACCTTAAGAAACCCCTACTGTTAAGGTGTTGAGGTGTGACTTGTCAAATCTACATATGTGTGTGTGTCTTATCTCACTCAGCCTTATAACCTGAATCTCTCACTCACTGCTCATTGAATTGAAAAAGCTCCTTGGATGAGGAGCGAAACGTCTTCTGTTACAAATAAAGTCCAGTTGTTTTTGTATTGAACGCTTTTTGAATTCATCATGTCCTGGATGACTGAGAATCTTCACCAGCATGTCTCTGTGTCCCTGTGATGGACTGGAGACCTGTCCAGGGTGTCCCCTGCCTCTCGCACAGTTACTGCTGGATATGGGCACCAGTGACCCAAAATTGAAGAAGCGGGTAAAGATGATGGATAGATGGATGGATGGATGGATGGATGCAGTTAGTATAACAAGGCAGCACAACCAGATACTTCCGGCTTTTAAACAACTAGTTTTTTTGTGTTTTTATTTTTATTTATTTTATGCATCTGTTTCACTTCATCCTGATCCTGTTGTCAATACATTTTGATTGTGTGCTGAAATGGTTATTAATTAAGAGGAAGTTATAAATGGCATAAAAAAAGAGTTATACTTTTTTTTGTCAGCGCATGCTAACTAATGCAAGAATGCTCTTTGTTTGCTTTTTGTTGTTAATACTGTATTTTTGCCACCTAGTGGCATGACTTAGAAATTTAATTGCTTTTATTAGAACATGTAGATGGGCAGCACGGTGGTGCAACTGGTAGAGCTGCTGCCTCTCAGCGAGAAGGTCCTTGGTTCAAACCCCGGTCCAGGGGCCTTTCTGGGTGGAGTTTGCATGTTCTCTCCGTGCATGCGTGGGTTTTCTCCGGGTGCTCCGGTTTCCTCCCACAGACCAAAAACATGCATGTTAGGCTGATTGGTAACTCTAAATTGTCCCTAGGTGTGAGTGAGAGAGTGAATGGTTGTTTGTCTCATTTGTCTCTATGTGGCCCTGTAATGGACTTGCGACCCGTCCAGGGTGTACCCCGCCCCTCGCACAGTGATTGCTGGACATGGGCACCAGCGACCCCCGTGACCCAAAATGGAATAAACGGGTAAAGATAATGGATGGATGGATGGAGAACATGTAGATTAATTTAAAAAAAAAGTTCAAATAAAAATACTTGTTTACCTGACTCAGTGGGACACTTCACTGCACTTTCTTTATTATAGGTCTGTCTGTAATTAACTTGTGAACAGAGAAACCAAACCCTGTGGAGGTTTTTTTTTAGACCTCTGTGCGTTTTGGATTAATTTTGATCTTGTGGTCTGGAAACTTCTGTTTCTATGAACTTTTTTCATGTCTCATATATATATATATATATATATGTATATATACATATACATATATATACACACACACATATCGTCTCACTTTCCACGTTTATAGTTATATTATTTTCTTTCCACTTTTGTTTCAGCTCAGGATGCAGGCTTGGATGCGCTTGCAGCTGTCATCAGCCGACAGAAGATAATGGGCCAAGACATCGGCAACGAGTTGGACGAACACAACGGTAAAGTTTAATGTACCGCAGCGTCTGTTCAGTTTTGTCATACAGATTCCTGAAACGTGACAGATCAGAACATGAAAGCGGTCAGACATGCTTTTGCCGTTGTTTTTCAGTGGAATTCTTTGCCCCATGAACAATGCTGGGTAGTAATGCTCCCTCACAATACCACAAAAATGACAAAATATGTGCATGCACACACATTAACATGTGAGCCATAAACTCTCTTTAGCACCTGACCTAACATTCCGGTCACGATCATGCCAAAGAAATGTGAACTCCGTTAGTGCAACTGAAAAAACAAAGAGTTCGGTGCTCTGGAAGATCAGATCTCGTCAGAGCTCATGGTGTTTTCTAGTCGTTTCTGGCAAAATCGCTCCCCTTGGTCAATAAACAGCTTCGATCACAAGCTGGATGTGCTGTCCAGAATAGACTGTTTTGGACTTGGCTGGTTTTAGGCAGATGGCACTCAAGACATTATATACTTTATTGCATCACTTTTAGAAGAACAGAAGTTTATAGGCAAAAAGCTGAGAGTGCTACCTTACAGAGGGGGGATAACCAGACTATGTTTTATGTTTTTTGTGTAATAGTGATTCTTTAAATATTTAGCCTGACAGCTTCTCTGCAGAAAAGCAAGGAATAGAAAGTCACTTTTCAGAAATTGCAAGAAGAAATCATCAATTACAACTACAGTGAGACTAAACGACTGCTGTGTCTGTGTGAATCTATTTTTAAAACCTTTTGTCAAACACTGTTAAGTGAGAGATCTACTGTTGCTTTCTCCTTTTTTAGTCTCAAGTAATGCTACCGCTATCAAATATTGTATTAAGAATAAAACAACATATTGTACATGTACTACCTCAGTTGTTTTCTGTCTTAATGTGTGGCTACAATAAAAGTTGCTCCTCCACTCTACTGTCAGAGTCACGTGCGCTCACATGTACACACAAAAGATCCATAAATGATTTTTTAGAAACACTTTCTAGAACATCAAAGTTCAATAATCTAGGTAATAAATACAACAAAGTTAAGTCAGGTCCTCTGGAGAGTTTCTTTTTTTGTTTTTTTTGTTTTGTTGAAACGTTTCATCTTTCATCCAAAAGACTTCATCAGTCTGAGGAGCCACAACAAACTCAGTTCCACAAGCAGAACTTTCCAGAATATTTATCTTTTCATAGGGAAGTTTAAAGTTTGTGGATTTTTCATACCTCTATATGAGAGTGATACCAGGACGCTTGTTGCAGCTTTTTTTATTGTTACAAGGTGATAGACTCCGACAGGTACTGTATGTTGAGTTAAATCAGAAAGTTATCTGAGACTGTTTACTTTGTGTAACATCTTGTTCTTTGGTCGGGATTTCATCCATTGACCTTCTCGCTGCGAGGCGACACCTCTACCAGCTGTTCCACCTTGCTGCCTAATAGCTCTTATTTTATTTTCCTTTTAGAGTTTCACACACAGTTTATCTTTGTGTCCCATGTGCCTCTTCCTGGATTACGGGAGAGATTCAGGATCATTAGTGTTTTTAAAAAACATTAAGTATTAATATATTGAACATTTACATTCTGCAAAAGGACAGGACTGCACAAAGGCTTATGAAGACATTTGACCTTGTAGCTCTTGATGATCTTTAGGTAATAATACACAACTTTCTATTTGAGTAATGTAACTTTTGACATTGACAAAAGTTTAAATATTTGTTTTATTGTTTGAAGTGTTTGGTCCGCTGTTGTACAGTGGGATTCACTTAAGTTTAAAAATTATGAACATGTTCTAATTGTGTTTTTTTTTAATAGCATTTGACTCCCTAAAGTTTTAGTATAATTTTAAGGCAAATATTTTAAACATAAAGTTTTTTGTTTGTTTGTTTTAACTTGTAGAACTGACAAATATACATATTTTCCCCTCTGTACTCCATAGTAATATTTAAACTGTTACTTGAGACAGTTTTGTAGGTGCCACATTTCTTACTTCTTTCTAAAGTGTCTGTGTGATATGTATGAAAAAGTTTTTATTTATTTATTTTTTGAGATAAGAATTTAATTCCCCATATAACACAGAAAAATGTCAAGACTTCGTGTTGAGTTTGGCTGTAGGTTGTTGTAACTTTGTCATCCAACTGTCTTTCCACCTTATGGGGTTTGTTTCCCCCCGGTCGCTCTTCTGTAGCAGTGTTTTCCTATAAATAGATTAAGCTCTTTGTAGTTGGATTTCTCCAGTCTGGATCGTGACAAGACTGCTGTGGTGGTTGCTGTCATTTCCTTTTTGGGAAACAGTTTCAGGTGAGGTCAGCAGTGAAGAAGACCCTTTTTTAGAAGTTTAGAAACGAACCCAAAAACCTCATTTACCCTACACTCAGCTTGGATCAGTATAAAATGCAGAAATCATTAAGGAGACCAATTATCTATATTTCAGTTTTTTGCTTTGTGGCTCAGGCCATCTATCCATAGAAAACAGAATTCCCTTCTTTTCACCAGTCATTGCAAAAATAAGAAATTCAATCCTTAGTTTAACATTAATAGAATGAAAGGATTTACTGTAATCATGCTTTCATATTTCTTCTATGATATTACCAGACGTTTGTGTTTTCATTTCCACAGTAAATGTTGCTGAAAATGGCCTGACACAAACCAGCTAAAATGGCTTTCATCAGCAGTAGTTTCCCTCACCAACAAGAAAAATCAACACTAATTAGATTTTATTGGTGTTGATATTTCTCATAATGTGGCCTGGAACATTGACATCACTCCTGCCTAATGCCCCACACTTACAAGTGACAGACAGTGGCTTGCTCAGTAAATTAGTTTCCTTTGAAAAAGGGTGACAGAAGTTGGAGGCGGGTGGGTTCATTTGTCAGTTTTAAAGATTTTTCCAAACTGGATTTTACTTCTACCAAAACGATGGCTGGTATAAGCCTCTCCTCTCATGCTAGTGTAACTTAATTGATAGTAGAAAGTAAAGCTGCTAAAGAAATGGAACAACTGTAAATGAGAGCCAAATTAATTATTAAATATGTTTACTGATGCCTTTAAATAAGGAGGCGTTAAATGCTCAGTGCATCTCCAATGACCTGTTGATTTACACAATCTTTGCATTTCTGAAGCACCTCTAGAGTTTTCTGTTTAAATATATATGCTCCTCAGTGTTTGCCATACAAAAATAACATAAAAGCTCTTCCACAAAACACTTTCAAACCAAATCTAAGATGCCCTTTTCTTGTCTTTGTGTGATTTATGAAAAAAAACCTGATGACATGAGTGGGTTAAAGTCAACCTGCTGCTGTTACAGCTCTGAGTAAGTTAGTAACTTAGTCAAAATGGATTGTCGGGTAATATCTTTCTGCTTGTTAAATATGCAGACTAATCATTAGATACCCAGCTGGCATCATAGCCTGACCAAAGGAGGAGATAGAAGCCACTGTCATCAAGACTAAAAAGCTTCTCACAATGTATGGAGGGTTTCACTCCAAGTCCAGCACCCTGAGACTAGACACAAAGAGAAAGAAGGGAGGCAGAGTACTAGAGAATGTTCAAGCAGTACAGGATGAAACGGAGTACATCTCATAGAAAGTCCCTATGATGAACAGAGAGTTGAATGTCTCTGACAGCAGAAACCCAATGTAGAGGACAAGGAGCAAGAGGAGCCATCCTGGAAAGATAATCCCCTGCACAGCATGTACCACTGGGGGATAGAGGAAGTGAGTGATATCAACAAATCCTACCGGTGGTTAGGTAAAGTTTAACAAATAAATAGATAAGAGCAATAGAGCCAATGGACTAATTTACCAGACCTGTCAAGGTGAAAATACACATTGCATTGTCTTCTTTGCTGGCGAGGTGAAAAAAATGAATCACTTTAGACTTCATATTTGCCTTACTGAATAATTCAATCATTGATTTGATTCTATGTTAGAACAAGTATAGGGTTGATATGTGCAGCATACTTACTTTCTAATAGGATTTGTTAAAGGGGGAGGACAGTCCTTGCCACAACTCAGTGACATCAGGCTCAGACATCATGTTCCTGCTTATAGAAATATCTCAGTGTGCAAATAAACCATACTAATGATGCCAATCGGCAAAAAATCAGAATGATTTGAGCTGTAGATTGATTTATTGTTTGTTTGATTTGCTTCACTTGCAAGTGAGGTTAGTAGTAGTGAGCCATGTTTTCCAGGCAGCATGGAAATGCAGTCATTATGTGACGTTCAAACGGGTGTTGTCGTCAACGAAACATCAAGCTTGCAATGAGCCGCAAAAGAGAGCTTGGCATTTCTCTACCGCCAGCATGACTGTCTGGTGTTTGACTTTGTGAGGTATTGAGAATATGATGATGGAGGGATAATTAAGCTGTCATGCTTTTGAGTTTTATAATAAATTGTCGACATTAGACTACCCTTATAAGGCCTAACACATTTTCAAGTTGATATTTGAAAACAGCCATAGATGGGTCAGAAAAATTGAGTAAAATAACACTGAACCAGCAGGAGTACATAAGCCAAGTGTGCCACCCTCAACAGCATTCAATCAATCACATACAGTATAGTGTTGTGACCTTAATTTACTATTTACCCTTCCCAGCATCTATTTTTTTAGAGATCTTTTGGTGTCACACTGATAAAGTTGTTGATAAGAGTAGATTAATAATGGCACGACTGACTCGGGTTACACCAACCAAGCAATGAGTCAAGTTTGGCACTGTCTCCAGACATTTCATCCATCAAACCTTTTGTTTCTTTCAGCGAATTCATTACCCTTCTCTTGTTCACAGAGTTGGGTTTAAGACAAAATTTATGCTTTTCATTCTGTTAGACTGTTCATTTGACTGCAAGGTTTGAATAATGTAAATTTATCATTGTACTGGTCTGCAAGTGTCTGTCAGGTCTTTCTGTGGATGACTGCACACGACACACATATCTACAGTGCCATGTACATCAATTAGACATCTACTCAAAAGGTGGTGTAAAACATAGCAAAAAATACCGTGTGTCAAACTGTGAGTAA